CGCCCCTCGGTCCCAAGCCGTGGGGGCGATGGGAAACGGGAGCTGCTGCACCGCTGCAGCTTGCCGGAGCACGGCAAGAGAGCCGCTCTGAGCCAGCCAGGGGCGCAGGACCTCCCTAGCGTGCACCGTGCATGCCTCAAAATTATTATTGCTAGCGAATGCAGCCCTTCCTCTTATCTCTAAGGAGTAAATAAAGGTGGGAAATCCACTTAGCCCTTCTCTTCCCTTCAAAGGCTGCAGGTGCTTCCTGGGCTGCTCTTGAGCAACCTGCAATCTGCAGATCAGGGAGTGAACTGTCTCTTCACTATCTCCTGAGAAGTTTCTCATTCATGGAGGTGTTTTACATCTTTTTCACAAGGAGTGTTGCCCCATTTGGGGGCCTCTGCTCCACAGAGCACAATTTCATTTGCAAGCTACACGCATCAGTGTTAGTGCGGATAGCTCTCAAATACACCCGTGCACACAGCCGAGGCGGTTGTGTGCGCCCGAATTCTGCCTCGTGCCTTCCAAGAGGCAGGAGCGAGCTACTGAAAGCAACCCGTCAGCTCCACGTGGCAGCAAGGCCCACAGCATCTGGGGGGTAACAGGGGTGGAGAGGAAGTTTGTGTGCGTTATTTCAGAAAAGCCATCTGTGCGAATGCAACAGCCAGCAGGATCTGGTTGCTGATCTTGCTCACAGATGGGCTACTGTTTCTAGTTCGAATATTTAGCTCGTATTTTTAAGTGAAAAGAGTTGTGGACTGTGATGCATTAGTCATATCAGGAGAATGGCTGACTCTATTTTAAACTTAGGGAAAGGCCAGTGTGCCAGAAAATGTATGTGTTTTTTCCAGCTCTGCCAGCTGGTGTAATAAAAGCCATCAGCTATTCTGCCAAGTCCCTGGAGCGAGCAGTCACTACTGCCATGCGAGAAATTTGGTCCTCATATTTTGCAGGAGTGAGTTGAACCCAGTCATCCGCAGGGTGTATGCCTGTGGGGACTAACAGCCTCCCCCGCTCGGAAGCACTCAGCAATTTGGCAGGAGCAAGTGTTTGCTGCCTGGTTTCTAGGACCAAACTTCAGCCAGAGACGTTCCCAAGAAAGGAGGCCTTCTGGGCAGAGCAGAAACAGAGAGCAGGGGGGAATCGCACCCTAGAAAGCCATTCAACAGCCAAAAAAAAAGGGTGTGTGTGGAAATTAACAGAGTCCGCTGGGCATTTTGTAAATATATAATTTATTGATCAATTATACAACCATAACCCTTTCGTTGTGGACCCATCCAGTGAGTGGTCAGAATGGTTTGACAAAACTGTGATTTTACAGATGAAAGCAGCGCATGAGCTGAGATTTTCTGGAGAGTTACTGGGATGGGGAGGGGTAGACACGTACCAAGACAGACCTCAGGACTGCATTATTTCCAGGCGTACCTAGCTTGCCATTGGAGGCTCTCTGGTTCCTGGTGAATGTATGGTGTCTTGGAAAGGTTGGGCTTCTCATGAAAGCTGTGGTGCAGGAGCCCCAAGTCCCTAATTCTCATGCCAACTCCCTTTGATCTGTTTCATTCCCCTCCCTCCCTGCCAGCAGCCCTTGTGTCGGAGAAGCCTCTTTGGCTGTGTGAACTCCGCAGGGCAGGAGCTGTCTGCTGCAAAACCCATTCTGGTGCTCCAGTCCGCGGGGCTCTAGACACTGGGATAACACTGCTGCAGGTAAGATTATCCCAGCTTAATCTTAACAGAAATTGGATAGAATTTTAATAGAAACAGTGGAAATTTTAATAGGAATGCCTAAACCCCTGGGGAGCACTGAAAATCTCAACTCTATAGATACTTAGCGTGGTCAAATATCTGTGCTGCACATGTCCCTCTGAGAGTCTTCAGCTACCAGAAATATTGATCATGTGCAAAAGATAAAGCTGATGCCTTTCACAGTGTGTAACAAAAAGGAATGAGGGTCCAAGACCCAGAGCTTTGCATCCTCTGCCAAGGCGAGGCTGATCTCTGTGATCTCTGCCTTGCTTGCACCGCCTGGCTCGGGGAGGTGCAGTTCTGCAGCTGGGAGCCGAGTTGGACTCTTTGTGGCTCTTTGCACTCTGCCCTGGGCTGTGCTCATGGGAGGAGAGGCCTTTCTCTCCCTGGTCTATCTGCCCTGCTCATTCTTGAACTGTCCCTGAAAGCACACCGGTCCCCAGTGCTGCTCCTCTCTGGCCTCCCCAGCACCTCTCCCTCTCGGTTGCATGCAGGTCTCTCAGAGATCATGTGTCCGACCAGCTTGGCACAAGCTCTGCAAACAACATAGCAATGAAGTGTCTCTTTTGCCTTCCCTGCGAGGCACATGGATCTGCCTAGGTACAATAGCCATGCAGTGCGGCACAGAGCTGTGAACACCCAAGGGCAGTGCGCTGTGCCCTCCTGCCTGGCATTAGGCTCAGTTGCGGCTGGGAGCTCTTCAGGAGGAAAGTCCAGTGAGATTCCCCATGTCACAGTCCCCCTCAGGGACAAAATCTGTCTCCCACAGCCCTGCCTTAATGCTGGCTGTGTCTCCTCTCTCTCCTAGTGTGGAAAGACCTTCACAGACCCACAAGTGTCTGGATTCAGAGGTGGCAGGTTCTCAGCAACACCCTGATCGGTGTGTGAGTGGCCTTTGTTGTTCATGGTGTAGGCATCAAGGTTTAGTCCCAGGGTTTAGTCCTTGGAGATACTTTCTGGCCAGAACTGTGCCTGTTCCTTCCCATTCCCAGCATGGGAAGAGCTTGCTTCAGTTGCAGCCACACTCTTCGATGATCATGTCTTCATGGTGGCGGATGACGATTTCACCCTTCTCATAGTACAGCATGGAGAGGGGGCTCATCTTAACTGGGGAGCATGCAGGACAGGGCACATGGTTGGGCTTGTAGAGCTTCAGCAAGCTCTGTTGGGAGACACGGAAGGGCAAAGCATAAATTTCCTGCCTCAGGTCAACAGGGCTGGAGGTAGGTTGGGAGCAGAAGGAGGAAAGCAGAAACAGCAAAACCCTCTTACCTGTATGTATGCATGGTTGGTGGGTTTGAAGGTCTCATCCACAGGCGACGGACACTGCCCTTCACACCGGTAGGCATTGTACTTTTTTGGGTAGACAATCCAGCTGCCCCAGCCAGTCTGCTCAAAATCCACTATCATGTCCACTCTCTTGCACAACGATTTGCCTTCCTCCCCTGGGGCAGGAACGGGGGCATCACTCACTTTAATCCTTTGCTTTTCCTTCCTGTTTCTACGATGCCGCCGGTTCCCCAAGTCCTTGGAGCCACTGTCACGCATGACGTGCTTGGAGGTCTCCACTGTTCTGAGGAGGGTGTGATCTCCTGGAGACTTGTCCTTGGAGAAGATAAGCAGCAGGACTCTGTCGGTCATGTCTTGGGGTATGGCCAGCTCCCCGTGGCTGGAGTCATTTGAGTTCAGCATGCTCGTTGCTGCAGTGGCTGGGGCAGCCAACCCGCTCATCTCCCATCCATCCTGGGCCACGGCACTCTCCGTTTCTGCAGGACTGCGGTGGCCAGAAGCCACCTCTTGGTGAAGCCAGGACCTGAGCATGCTGGTGACATTGAACACTTTCCAGGAGGCCTGGGTGAAAGAGGGGCTGCCAGCGAAGGTGCCCAGGAAGAGCTTGTGCACACAGGTCCTGTTCTCCTGGCACTTCTGCTTCGGGCTGTGGTAGATGTCCAGCGTGACATTCTGGGACTGTGAGAGATCAGGCAGGTGGACTCGGAGCTCAGCCAGATTCACCTCCTGGCTGCTGGAGATGGAGCTCATGTCGAAAGAGAAAGCCCAACGGGAGCCGTTCTGGAGAGAACCTGAAACCGGACGGGGACAGTGAGGAATATGCCTGGCCCAGAGCACTGTCCTCATCACCCTGGTGCGGGCTGGAGGGGACAAAGGCTTTGTGCGTGAGTACCAGGAGACAGATGCACCTGCAGTGCTGCCAGGGGCACAACCCCTGCCACCGGGAGCTCTGTTCCCTTAGCCAGACTCCAACTGGGGTGGGAAACCAATTAAATTGCCGGTGGTACCCAAGCCCTGAGAGGGAGCGAGACAGGTTCCTGGGAGCAGAGCAGACACCGTTAGCGCCTCTCCGCTCCTGCGCCTGCTCCCCACCAGCCTGCTCCCACCGTCCTCCCCAAGCAGAGCTGGAGAGGATGCTCAGGGCCCCCCAGGCTTTTGGAGCACAGGGGTGAAAGGAGGCACAGCCTGGAGGCAGGGAGCTGAGCCTTGTGCTGGGGACAGGGATGCCTGAGGACAGGAGAGCTGGGGACAGTGCTGGTCCCGGGGACAGGGATGCCCGGGGACAAGGGTGCTTGGGGACAGTACCAGTCCCAGGGACAGGGGAGCCTGGGCACAGGGATGCCCGGGACAGGGAAGCCCGGGGATAGCAGAGCCAGGCACAGGGATGCCCCGGGGACAGGGGAGCCCGGCGACAGTGTCGGTGCCGGGCACAGGGATGCCCTGGGCACAGGGATGCCCGGGACAGGCACCGTGCCCGAGGACAGGGGTGCCCGGGGCCGCCC